TGTGATCCAGTGAGCACATTAACCTTTCCCTCGTTATAGTATAAATTAACCCTCAGTGAGCTCATTAATCTCGTTATAGTATAAAATAACCCTCTGTGAGCCAGGGAGCTCATTAATCTCTCCCTCGTTATAGTATAAATTAACCATCTGTGAGCCAGTGAGCTCATTAATCTCTCCCTCGTTATAGTATAAATTAACCCTCTGTGAGCCAGGGAGCTCATTAATCTGTCCCTCGTTATAGTATAAATTAACCATCTGTGAGCCAGTGAGCTCATTAATCTCTCCCTCGTTATAGTATAAATTAACCCTCTGTGTGCCAGGGAGCTCATTAATCTCTCCCTCGTTATAGTATAAATTAACCCTCTGTGTGCCAGGGAGCCTCATTAATCTCTCCCTCGTTATAGTATAAATTAACCCTCTGTGTGCCAGGGAGCTCATTAATCTCTCCCTTGTTATAGTATAAATTAACCCTCTGTGTGCCAGGGAGCTCATTAATCTCTCCCTCGTTATAGTATAAATTAACCCTCTGTGTGCCAGTGAGCTCAATAATCTCTCCCTCGTTATAGTAAAAATTAACCCTCTGTGTGCCAGGGAGCTCATTAATCTCTCCCTCTTTACAGTATAAATTAACCCTCTGTGTGCCGGTTTAGGGCTCCTAGCAGCCTCCATACAGGCAATATTTCCGGGCCCCCTTCATTACAGAGCCCTCCAGCGCCTACAGGCATCATACCACTGGTGGCTCCTACACATGGAGGCGTGGAATGGCAGAGCCATCTTCGGCTCGGCCCCAGACGTAGTCATAGAATCGGACCCAATCTCTCCTACGGACCTCGAAGGGACCCCCCACCCCCTGATCCTTCAGGGTCTCCTCCGCCTCATGGTGTGGTTGATCTCCGGGGACCCTGGTCAATCGCAGGAGTTTCGCAATCGACTCCCAGACTTCTCGAGGGCGCATGGGCACCCGGCACGAGACAGTCTTACAAGTCTGCTTGGCGCGCATGGGATGGTTGGTGCGTGGCACGGGGTGTGGATCCCCTATCAACTCCTGTGACAACAGTCCTACAATTCTTAACCTCCCTTTATGATAATGGGAAAGCTTACAGGACGATAAACCTCTACCGATCAGCTATCTCAGCCGGCCATACCGGCACTGACGGGGCCCTGGTAGGACGACATGCAAGGCCACTCCTACCTCACTATTCCTCCCTATGGGACGTCTCCCTGGTATTAAAATTGCTGACGAGGTGGCCAGACAATGAGTCTTTATCCTTAAAACAACTCTCAGCTAAACTAGTTATGCTGTTGTGCCTAATCTCATGCAAAAGAGTGTCAGACGTTAGAGCTCTCGATGTCAATGCCCGATCCTTCACCCCAGAAGGAGTAGTTTTTGACATAACACAGAGGACGAAATCGTCCTCCAGGTCGGGCCTGTATCCAACTTTTCCCACAAAGCCGCTCCTTTGCCCAGTAGCGTGTCTTAGGGCGTACGAAGCTCGTACTGCATCCCTTCGGTCTGGGTCGGAACCCCAACTCTTCATCTCCTTTCGTAAACCACATGCCCCAGTATCCTCTCCTACCTTGGCACGCTGGGTCAAATGGCTCATGTCCTTAGCAGGTATTGATACCTCCATATTTTCTCCTCATTCGGTCTGTGGCGCCACGGCCTCTAAAGCCTCCTTTGCGGGTTGTTGCTTGGAAGATATATTGAAGGCGGCTGATTGGTCCGCTGAATCTTCTTTCCGTCATTTCTATTTCAAACCAATCCAGCACTTCGCAGAAGCCGTGATATAAACGGTTTGAAATAGCATAATAGGAGCCTCCGGGTCTTTAATAAAATTCAAGGGTTTTACAATTATCATGACGGAAAGTCATGATTTTATTGAAGACACAGCGGCGAGTATTATCCCACCCGCCCACGGGCGGCTCGGAGGTGGGTCGAGGTAAGTTTTCAGACCTCTCCAAGGTAAGTTCAATTTGGCGGTAGTGATGCCATCACATACCTACATCGATATAGGACATTATCTAATGATGGGACTTTATTGCTAATGTTGTCCTCAAATTGGTAGTTGCCTCTTACTACTGTTATGTAAGGTTTACACTGTTTAGTCAGTCATTTGGACCTATATATATGCGGACAATCCAAAACTTTCAAGAAATTACCATATTTTATTCTTTCTTTAGCGTGACCTGGTTGAAAGACCTCCTGGAATCACATGCCTTGTTAAGGCTCGTTTGGTTTACTTGGTTTTCCTGTTCCTAGTTTGAGTTTTCTTCGGGAGTCGCAAGAAAGAGGAAATGGTCATCAACGCTCGGCCTACTATATGGGAAGGATGTCACTGATTGGATGGTCATGTTGCTAGGCGGACATTGCCTATATGATGTTTATACCTGCTTTGAATGTTCTTTTTCAATAATGTTTCTTTGCTGCTGAGGGAAATAAAGAAAGAGGGCAGCATAATAGGAGCCTCCGTGTCTTTAATAAAATCATGACTTTCCGTCATGATAATTGTAAAATCCTTGAATTTGAATATAGGATATCATTATATGACACCTATAAGCTTGAGCCTTGGAATCAAGATAAATTCTATCACAATCCCCTCTTTTGATTCCAAGGGTCACCCAAATGTCCAAGGTATTTACAGGCCTGCTAGCCAAAGCCTGAGGGGCTTTCATTTATTGCTTCACCACGGTTCCCTTGGACTGAGAGACCACCAGAATCAGCGGAGGAGAGTTCCTTCATTTGTTAGGCGAGGTAACATCATAAAACCCTTCCAAAGTTAGAGCTGGAATGTAAGTTAAGGTACGACCAATAGTAGGTTTGTTTTTACATAGAGAGGTTAGTAGACATGAAAAAAATCTAAAGGTTAGAAAAATGGCCATAATGACAAATACAGCTAATAGCAAAAAGTACAAAACTTTCTTAATAAGTAAAGTCAACCATGTTCCTAGCCCAAATGTCCAATCCCAATCCCCAAAGAAGCCATGATCCTGTTTGATATCCTGTACTAAATCATGTAAATCTTTTATATGTTTATGGATCATAGTGCCATGGTCCGATAGGTTAAAACAGCACATACCTTCAATAGCTTCACAGCCTAAGTCATGTTTCATTAGTAAGTAGTCAATGGCTGCTCTATTCTCAAGGATTGCCTTCTTATTTGCCTGGTTGTCCATAAATTGCTCTTCTAGGGCCTGTGAAGTGGCATTTAAACCTTTTGCAAGGGAGCAGGCTACAGCATTAACTACTCAGGTATTATACAGTGCTACCAAGGTGTACGCTAGGGCAGAGTATTCAGCTTTAGATAAGACAGTGATTTCAGGGTTACAATCTGCATTAAGGGTGTTTTTAACATCTCTCCTGTCTCTCAGCAATTTGTGTAGCTGGGTGGTTTTAGTGATCAGGTCAGATTTGGAAAACATGGTCATGGTTAGGCGAGAGATTGCACAGGGACCTCCTGTAATGTTACCTGGGACATAAGCATAAGTAATATTTCCACAGGAGAAAGTCCATCCTTTTGGGAGATAGACAATGTAGTGGTAACTCATAACTTGGTGAGTTTTGGTACAATTCATAGTGGTGCTCAGGGCTCTACAATTCGCGGTATTTTTCCACAAAACAGGGATTCAGTATTAGGGTCTCTTGAACAATTATATGAAAAAGACCAACATAGTTCAGCACCTGTCACATTAATTGTCTTCAGGGCTAGAGGAGGCTTGCCTACCAGTGGGTTGAAGGCACAAGAATATAGTTGTAGAGATTTAGGGGTCTATGGGTATGTAGGTACTTACTCAACAGTGAGATGGGGGTAGGGACAGCTATAAGACAAGATTCTATGGCGTTTTCAGTACTGAGGAGAGGGTTGAGGCAAAAGGAGGTTAAATTAAAAGCCTTTGCTATCTGCAACCATATATGTTCCTGCTATGTATTATTATTATTTTCTGGTCTCAAGTCAGAGTAGCATATCCGAACACAGCATAAAATGGTAAAGGATAAGAACAGCGTCATGTCGGTGGATCAATCGGAGTGACTTGTTTACAGTGACTGGCCTGTATTCACGTGGTTTTTCCTTCTAGTTTCACTGAGGTATCCGTAGTCAAGAGCACTTGGAATGGACCGTCAAAGCACCCTAATCCCTGTGGCACGCCTATGGAGTGAGACCGGCAGGGGAGATCTCAGGATCTCCCCTGTCGGCTCATGCAGAGCCAGCGCTATTCGAGCGCCGGCTCTGCTCTCAGCCTCCCTCCCCACTGCAGCATGGAGGGAGGCAGGAAAGGACCCGGGGAGCTCAACCAGCAGCTCCGCTGGGTTCCTCTCGCGAGATTGAACTCTATCCCCACAGGGGCTAGAGTTCACTCTCCACTGGACCACCAGGGAAAGCAGCAGGAACAAGGATCCCCCCTCCCTACATAAGGTAAGAAGGGAGGGGGGATATTAAGTAATGTACCCCCACCTCCACCCCCCACAATTACCCACACACATACAGCACACACACAGCACCCACACACATACAGCACACACACACACACAGCACACACATACAGCACCTTCACACATACAGCACACACACAGCACCCACATACAGCACCCACACAAAAACAGCAGCTTCACACACATACAGCACCCACACACACACAGCACCCTCACACACATACAGCACCCACACACACACAGCACCCACACACATACAGCAACCTCGCACATACAGCACCCACACACATACAGCACCCTCAAACACACAGCACAGAAACAGCACCCTCACAAACATACACACAGCACCCACACACAGCACACTAACAGGACCCTAACAAACACACACACACACAAACACCCTCACACACACACAGCACACAAACAGCACCCTCACACACATCACACTAACAGCACCCTCACACACAGCACCCTTACACACACACACACACACACACACGGCACCCTTACACACACACACACACACACACAGCACCCTTACACACATACAACACACTCAAACCACCCTCATGCAGCACACACACAGCAGTGTATGTGTATGTATATATGTATATGTGTATATATGTATATGTGTGTATGTGTATATATATATATATATATATATATATACACACATACATATACACGCGGCGTGTGTTTGTGCTTTAGGGTGCACACCCTAATACAATAGGCTGCGCACGCCTATGGTCTGTATAAATATTGGCAGTCTTACCAGAAGCCATTTTACACGCTTCAGCGAGTGCCTTCAGTTCTGCCTCCTGTGCAGAGCAGTGAGGAGCGAGTGGTTCAGCTTTTATTACCTCATGTGCAGAGACTACAGCATATCCAGTGTGGAAATTACCCTTCTCATCAGCATAGCTGGAACCATCTACAAAAAAATCTAAATCTGCATTAGATAATGGAGAATCAATTACATGTAAAAAAAACCTGCTGTTTCTTGTGCCATTAGTGCTGCACAATCATGGGGTACCTGGGCATCAGCTAACTCATCTGGTGAAAGTGAATTTACAAAAAGATCAGAAGTACAACCATTCACACTATCCCCACTCCCCTCTTTTAAATCCAGGGGAAGTAATGTAGATGGATTTAACACCATACACCTTTTAAGAGTAACATTAGGTGGCATAAGCAAGGCACATTGCATTCTGAGATGCCTTGCAGTATGTATGTGTTTTGGTTGAACTTGTGACAGTATGCTGTTTATATCATGCGGTGTGTATATTGTCACCGGGTTATCTAAGACAATATCAGTGGCTTTGTCCAGGAGGGCAGTAACAGCCGCCACTGCCCTAACACATGAGGGGGCACCCCTGGCAACAGGGTCCAATCTGGCGGAGTAGTATGCTATTGGTCTTTGTTTACCACCATGATCCTGTGTAAGGACAGATGTAGCATAACCTGATTGCTCAGTACAGAACAGGTTAAAATTATTTTTGTAATCTGGGAGACCCAGTGCCGAAGCTGAAGTTACCAGTAACTTAAGGGTATAGAAGGCATTTTCTACCGCATGGGTTAATGTAAATGGTTTGTTTTCATTGGCAAGACAATCATACAGTGGTTGCATGTAGATAGCTACGGAACGCAGCCAAGGACGGCAGTAAGATATCAAACCGAGAAATGTGCGGAGCTGGGCTAGGCTGTGGGGGGGCGGTTTAATATTTTGAACTGCAGTCTTTCTACTCTCCGTGAGATGTTTTATGCCCTGGGAAATGCAATGTCCTAGGAAAATAACTTTCTCTACACATGCTTGCAGTTTTGTTTTTGTCACTTTACAGCCTGCTTCTGCCAAGAATTTTAGCAAGGAAAGAGTGTTTACAATACAAGATTCCATATTATCGCAACATAGGAGTAGGTCATCGATATACTGCAATAAAATTACGTTATTTGGCCTTTGCCACTCTTCAAGAATCTGGGCCATAGCCATGCTGTACATAGTGGGTGAGTTTTGTGCGTACTGTGGCAATACTGTCCAAGTGTACTGCTTGTGTTTACATATAAATGCAAATAAAAACTGACTGTCGGGATCCAGGGGGACACTGAAAAATGCATTTGCCAAGTCAGTAACAGTAAATACCTTAGAGGAAGGTGGTATTTGTGCCAACAAGGTGTGTGGGTTGGGAACATTAGGGGCAATCCCCTGCTAATCTACTAGGCAATCAGTTCAGTTACAGCATTAATTGCCCTCAAATCATGGAGCATACGGTAGACCACAGGTTTCCCTTACTCTTGCTTTTTCTTAATTGGGTACAATGGTGTGTTACAAGGGGAGGTGGTCTGGACAACTACCCCTGCCTGCAGAAACTCTGCACAGATTGTCAAATAGCATCTTCCTGTGCTGGGCTTAGGGGGTATTGTTTTTGATAGGGAGGTTTGGCTCCGGGCAGGAGGTTCACTTTGACTGGGGGCACAGAGAGTCTGCCTGTATCTGTCTTCCCTGTAGCCCATAAGGAATCAGGGACCGAGGACAAGTCAATGGTAGGTTCTGGCACATGGCTGGGCATAGTGAGAGTTGCCAGAACATTTGAAAGAGATATCATTTGTTTGTCCTCCAAAGGCACAGACAAAGTGGGGCTATACTGGATATTTGCACTAAGAGCAGACAGTATATCACTGCCTAGTAGATTGGCAGGGGCATGAGGGCTGACAAGTAGCCTGGTTACAAGGGCAGTAGAGTCGTGTAGCTTCAATTTCAGCTTGTGGGTAAGGGGAATGTCATTTTCGATACCATCTACCCCTACACATGATAATACATCATTAGATTTGTTCAACAGGAACACATATTTTTCCCGTAACATTGATTTTGCAGCGCCAGTGTCCAACAGCAAAGGGACTATTCGGTCCCCGGGCAGTATAACATTAATAATGGGTGAGGGTCCTGCAAGTCAGGGATATTTATTTTTTCCCTGGTTTTGGCATCAATTGTGATAGAATTTATCTTGATTCCAAGGCTAAAGCTTATAGGTGTCATATAATGATATCCTTTATTAAAATTGGCTAACTTGGACTCAGGAAATGCTTGATGCTTAAACAACACTTAAGACCATATATATCTAGTTCCGGGAGCAGACAGCCCCCACCAAGATGTCTCTTCTCTAATCTTTTTGCTCTTTCTTACCTTGGAACTTATTATGTGTACATGACGTTCATCCCTATGTCTTATCTGTACTCTCTTCCTATTACTGTTCTAAGAGTATTTGCACGTAAGCACTTACTTTTTAATGTATAAAACCCAGCTTTTGAATAAAACGTCAGAGGCTTATTTTGAATACCAACAGGTGTCTGGTGTCTAGTTCTCGCTTCTCCAAGTGCACTTGTAACAACAATTTGGGCTTCCTCTGAATATAACAAAGATCAACATTTCTGATCCACAACAATTTGGTGCCGTGACCCCGGGATCTGACGGTCGAGAGACTCGGACACTAGTGTACAGGTAGACGTCCCTCTGACAGTGAAATCAGCTGTACAGCAAGGTAAAAAAAAGTTTTTTTCTACCTTTATCAATTTCGCTTTCAGATCCACGTCCTACTAGTCTGTCTGGGTAAAAAACGACTTAAAAACGTCTGATCTAAAGAACTTGTTTTCTGTGGTATTATGGTTATATTCAGGTGGAGGTTGTGTTATGTCTTGTGAAAGGAATCTTGAGACAGTGGAATATAACTGTGGGTTGTAAGTTATTTTTATTGTTTGCCTTGTCATTTGTTTTATAATTTGAGTTACAATCCTCCAAGGGCAGATCTCCTGATCTGTGTTTAGAAGACAAAACTGTGAAAATTCCACTGCAGCGGGTCATAAGTGTTTTTTTTAAGTACACTGGTTTTGTACAGTTTGTCTTGTGTAAGGAAGTAATTAACCCTTACAAGTTTTAAGATGGGTAGCTCTGCAAGCACCCAAGGGGGATTTACGGCTTTGACTATTGTCAAGCATCACAAAGGACAAGGAGCAATTAAGAATGTTAAGAGGTTACTTAAGAAAGCTGGCATGCCCTCAGAGGGCACTCTAGACCCACATATATGGAGTGAATTTATGGCAAATTACAGAGGTTGGTTAGAAGATGATGACTTAGTAGAAGTCGCACAAAAATGGCATGATCCTGCTGTTGAATTAACTAAATGTGGTTGTAGAGAAATCACCAGGAAAGGTGTACCATATTATCAATGTTTTGGACTTCAAGGATCCCAGAGTAGGCAAGATCCTGGGAAAAATCTTGTAAACCCACCCCTTTACCAGGATACTGCAGGGACTCCTTTGGTCCCAAAAGGCCAGGCGATTTCCTTTTTACGGAGATCAAAACCTTTTTTTCCAGTAATATTACACAGTGAGACTTCATATGGTGTCCCAGTAAGACCTATGGGTTCATTAGAGCAGGAAGGTAGTCCAGACTTAAAGCAACCCCTAGTTGCCCCCATAGACACCCCAGTGGGGCCATTAGCTCCACAATTTTCTACTCCCATGATACCCAAAGTTGAGAGTGTATACCATGAAAACAGACAGCCGAGCGCAGGTATCCAATACTGGGAAGAATATAAGCCCTGGACACCCAGTGAACAACTGGCAATAATACAGCAGCTGGCAGATGTTGAAAAGGCCCCCTTAGCTCTAGTCCAGTCTCTATCCACAATTCAAGCTACTTACCATGAAGATAGATGCCCATGAAGATAACCTCAGAAAAAGCAACATGCAAACAGATGAATGGTTTAGAACCAAGTCTGCATCTAGAGCATGCTATGTCACTGCAATGAGAGAATGGGCTAAGGTAAAGACAGAGGAACTAGCCCATAAATTAGGAGATATACTACAAGGGAAAGATGAATCTGTAGAAACATTCACCAGACTACAGATGGCTTGGGAGGCATTGGGTTACATTGATGTTGTAACCACTTCGACCAGACTGCTTATTAACTGCTTCATGGATGGTATCCACATACCCATAAGGACTGGTCTCCAAAATGCTAGACCTGAGTGGAGAAGTTTAACCTATGGTGATCTGGTGAAGGTGGCTAGGGGAGTGGAAGCTAATCTAAATACTAGAAAGAGGAGCACACCTCTAATGGCTGTAACTGTCCATAGAGCTGGCGGAGACAGAAGGCAGGTAGACTGCTGGAATTGTGGCAGGAAAGGACACATTAAATGTAACTGCAAGTGTCCTCCTAAAAATAGAAAACCCCAGGATTCTAATGATAACTCCCATGACAGCCAACCACCTCCACCAACTCCCCCCCCCCACCAATAGGAAATTGGCAAACCAGTGTCCCTACATATTATAAATTCTATCACACATTTAAAGTCAAAATAGCCAAACTGGGAAAATTATCCAAAGAAAATATTTTTTAGTTTGATTACTTTGGTCTTAACTTTGAACTCTAGAATACTCACATTTAACTAAGTAATCCTATATATTTAAATTCATCGGATTCATCTTTAAATAGTGAGCTACCAATAGAGAAACCTTATCACCCAAGCTGAAAGTACAACACAAGGTAAATAATATTCAAATGAAAGAGACAGATTTACAAGTTTCACTAACTTTATTATAAAAAATAAAATAAACTATTAGTGCAATAAATATTATTTCACATGGCATTGAAAAACAATTAAAAAAAAAATGTATATATAAACAGAACCGACATTTAAGTCTTAAAAACAGTTTTGTCAGATTTATTTTGTTTTAATATCACTATATTGTTTCTTTATTAATCATGAGTTCATATAAAAAAAAAGTTTAAATTATTTAAAGAAACTCCTCTGTAATGTCCATATAAACAAAATACATTTTGTATTCATACTGATCACAGTCCCAGACTTGAGTTCTTTGTTTCACTCTCTGGATATTACAGTCTTTGAAACAATATATTAACAAGTCTTTAGTGTCCATTTGACGTAAAACGAAATGCACAAGTTCTTAATCAACCTCTTCAATTGTGGGACCCGAAGTGCTGCCCTGTCTGGCCTGAGCTCCACAGCTGGATCCTGGCATTCCACTTGGCATGCCACCCTGGTACAGTTTGGCTATAATGGGCTGACACACCTTCTCCAGCTCCTTCTGCTGATGGGTATATTCCTCTTTCTCTGCAAGCTGGTTGCTCTCCAGCCAGGAGATGATCTGCTGACACTTATCAGAGATGGTCTTCTTGTCATCTTCACTGAGTTTGCCCTTCATGTTCTCATCCTCCACCATGCTCTTAATGTTGTAAGCGTAGGACTCCAGGGAGTTCTTGGCAGAGATCTTCTCCCTTTGGACATCATCGTCAGCCTTGTACTTCTCAGCATCCTGAACCATCTTCTCAATATCTTCTTTGCTGAGGCGGCCTTTGTCATTGGTGATAGTGATTTTGTTCTGTTTGCCGGAGCTCTTGTCCACGGCCGACACATTGAGAATTCCGTTGGCATCGATGTCAAAGGTGACCTCAATTTGTGGCACTCCACGAGGAGCGGGTGGGATGCCAGCTAACTCAAACTTGCCCAAGAGATTATTGTCTTTGGTCATAGCCCTCTCACCTTCATACACTTGAATGAGCACTCCAGGCTGGTTGTCAGAATATGTGGTGAAGGTCTGAGTCTGCTTGGTAGGGATGGTTGTATTGCGTTTGATGAGAACAGTCATGACCCCTCCAGCTGTCTCCAAGCCCAGGGAGAGAGGGGCCACGTCAAGTAGAAGCAAGTCCTGCACGTTTTCTGACTTGTCTCCCATCAGGATGGCAGCCTGGACAGCAGCTCCATAGGCTACGGCTTCATCTGGATTAATGCTTTTGTTCAGATCCCGTCCATTAAAGAAATCTTGCAGCAGTTTTTGCACTTTTGGGATACGAGTGGAGCCTCCCACTAGGACAATTTCATGGATCTGAGATTTGTCCAGCTTGGCGTCTCTCAGGGCCTTTTCTACAGGCTCCAGAGTTCCCCTGAACAGGTCTGAGCAAAGTTCCTCAAAGCGGGCCCTAGTGATGGAGGTGTAGAAGTCAATGCCCTCATACAGAGAATCTATTTCAATGCTTGCCTGGGTGCTGGAGGACAGGGTACGCTTGGCTCGCTCACACGCCGTTCTCAGTCTCCTCAGTGCTCTTTTGTTCTGGGTGATGTCCTTCTTGTGCTTGCGTTTGAATTCCTCCACAAAGTGGTTAACCATGCGATTGTCAAAGTCCTCTCCACCCAGATGAGTGTCACCTGCTGTGGCTTTTACTTCAAATATACCATCGTCAATAGTGAGGATGGAAACATCAAAGGTGCCACCACCCAAATCAAATATCAGGACGTTTCTTTCACCACGGGCTCCCTTGTCCAGGCCATAGGCGATAGCAGCAGCTGTAGGCTCATTGATGATTCTCAGTACATTCAGTCCAGCAATAACACCAGCATCTTTGGTAGCCTGGCGCTGGGAGTCATTGAAGTAAGCTGGCACAGTGATGACAGCATTGGTAACTGGATGTCCCAGATAGGCTTCAGCTGTCTCCTTCATCTTCAGCAGCACCATGGAGGAGATCTCCTCAGGGAAGAAGGTTTTCTCCTCGCCTTTGTACTCCACCTTCACCTTGGGCTTTCCCCCATCGCTCACTACCTGGAAGGGCCAGTGCTTCATGTCTGATTGTACGACGGGTTCATTGAACTTTCTGCCAATCAGTCTCTTGGCATCAAAGACCGTATTCTGGGGGTTCAGCGCCACCTGGTTCTTGGCAGCATCTCCCATCAGTCTCTCAGTGTCAGTAAAAGCCACATAGCTGGGGGTGGTGCGGTTTCCCTGGTCGTTAGCGATGATTTCCACCTTACCATGCTGGAAAACTCCCACACAGGAGTAGGTGGTACCCAGGTCAATGCCAATAGCAACTCCTTTAGCAGCCATGTTCTCTCTCTGCTGTGTATAGAGTGTGAGTTCTGGAGGTTCTCTCGTTGTGTATAGAGTGCGAGCACTGTTGGTCTCGGTGCTGGCTGTCACTTAGTGCTGGCTGTCTCTCTCTCTCAGTGATGGCTGTCTCTCAGTGATGCCTGTCTCTCTCTCTCAGTGATGGCTCTCTCTCAGTGATGGCTGTCTCTCTCTCTCAGTGATGGCTGTCTGCCTCAGTGATGGCTGTCTCTCAGTGCTGGCTGTCTCTCTCAGTGCTGGCTGTCTCTCAGTGCTGGCTGTTTCTCTCTCTCAGTGATGGCTGTCTCTCTCAGTGATGGCTGTCTCTCTCAGTGCTGGCTGGCTGTCTCTCTCTCAGTGTGCTGGCTGTCTCTCAGTGCTGGCTGTTTCTCTCTCTCAGTGCTGGCTGTCTCTCAGTGCTGGCTGTCTCTCTCAGTGATGCCTGTCTCTCTCTCTCAGTGATGGCTCTCTCTCAGTGATGGCTGTCTCTCTCTCTCAGTGATGGCTGTCTGCCTCAGTGATGGCTGTCTCTCAGTGCTGGCTGTCTCTCTCAGTGCTGGCTGTCTCTCAGTGCTGGCTGTTTCTCTCTCTCAGTGATGGCTGTCTCTCTCAGTGATGGCTGTCTCTCTCAGTGCTGGCTGGCTGTCTCTCTCTCAGTGTGCTGGCTGTCTCTCAGTGCTGGCTGTTTCTCTCTCTCAGTGCTGGCTGTCTCTCAGTGATGGCTGTCTCTCTCAGTGATGGCTGTCTCTCTCAGTGATGGCTGGCTGTCTCTCTCAGTGATGGCTGGCTGTCTCTCAGTGCTGGCTGTCTCTCAGTGATGGCTGTCTCTCTCAGTGATGGCTGTCTCTCTCAGTGATGGCTGGCTGTCTCTCTCAGTGATGGCTGTCTCTCAGTGATGGCTGTCTCTCTCAGTGATGGCTGTCTCTCAGTATTTGCGCGCTCTCTCTCTCTCACTTGTTCTCAGGTAACTGCTCTGCCTGCTGAAAGCATCCTCTATATATACTGCTCAGGGCTGGAGCCAGAGAACTTGTCAGCCAATCACAGCGCGGTCCTCACCAAGCTACCAGGGATTGCCTAGCAACCTTCACGAACTTTCCCGAGTCTTCTCTGCTGTTTCAGCCAATGAGCATCCAGCTCAGTCCAGGAACATTCGCGAGAGTTCCAGCCTCCCTCTCCGCCGACCAATCAGCGACTCCGGAGTGACCGTGACGTCAGCAGCCAGGAGAAGCTGCTGGAACCATCTCGGTGAAGGACTGAACCTGCCGAGAGGCCAGCCAATGAGCGCAGAGCTGGGCCGGAGAGGGCGGGGCTATTAACAACCCTGGCCCGGAGTCTGCTGGAAGTTTCTCCGGAGTGGCACACAGAGGGTTAATCCGGCTCACAGAGAGAGAGAGAGAGTAACCCGGCACACAGGGGGTTAATCCGGCTCACAGAGAGAGAGAGAGAGTAACCCGGCACACAGAGGGTTAATTTATACTATAATGAGGGAGAGATTAATGAGCTCACTGGCACACAGAGGGTTAATTTATACTATAACGAGGGAGAGATTAATGTGCTCACTGGCACACAGAGGGTTAATTTATACTATAACGAGGGAGAGATTAATGAGCTCCCTGGCACACAGAGGGTTAATTTATACTATAATGAGGGAGAGATTAATGAGCTCCCTGGCACACAGAGGGTTAATTTATACTATAACGAGGGAGAGATTAATGTGCTCCCTGGCACACAGAGGGTTAATTTATACTATAACGAGGGAGAGATTAATGAGCTCACTGGCTCACAGAGGGTTAATTTATACTA